AGCCCATCGTTGAAGCAACAACGTCCAGTTTTCGAACAGATGAAATAATTTCAGCGGTTTCTTTACAGAATAATTCTGAATGAAATATAGAAACATCACATTCAATATTCAGGTTCTAGAATTTTGTTTATTGCAAAACAATTCAACCAGATTGACCCCACAATTTCCTTGCTGGAGTGAGTTCAAAATTGTTCCATTCAAACTGCACGTACATATACACAATGATTTCTCGAAATGCATACTAATTAGGTAACTTGTCACCAGTAAAAAAAACATTTTGAGCAATTTTGGGCAACAGTACTAGAGTGAAAAAACAATGTGCTTCTGCATTCTCCATGAATTTTGTAACTTTCTATGACCACGTATTCGTTAAAGGAAAAGCCTGTGGTTACTTTCAACAGTTTGCTGGAGTCTGATCAAAAACGTGTCTCAAAAAACACTTTTAGAACAATTTTTCATTGATTTTTTTTCAGCTCGTAATAATAGAATCAGTCAATTTATAACTACCATGATGGCTATAGTAAATCATTTTAGCACAGTTTTACTGAAAATGAGACGATAAGCTCAGCCAATAATAATGCAACCCTCCCCCGAGTCAGCGTGTGCCTGAAACAGCCATACTATTGCAGTTAAGTCAAAGCAGATATCCAAGGCAGAATTTAATACAGTGACAAATCCTGTCAACAAACAAGCTGCTCTCTGATTGGTCTGTTGATTTTAAGGTTGCGTAGCCAATCAGGCAGAATCTTGTAAAGTAGCCTTGGATAATCAACTATTGAATTCTACTGTTTATTTTTATTTCAGTCCTGGAGCCAGCCAAGTAAATTTTCAACTTTGATGGATGATGATGATGATGGAAATGCATCAAATTGAAAAAAAAAAAGAAAACGTTTCCCAAAGATTGATTCTTGTAATTTAAAAATATATCAACAGCTGTTGAGGGAAGACATTTATCGGTTGAGTCGTCAGCCATCTTGATTGTCACTTTAAATTTTGTGATTAGCATGTTGGGTTGTGAATTTATGTGATCTTTGAAATCTACCAATGGATGACAAGTTTACATTTTGACTTTTAGAAGCGTAAGTTGTATCATGTTTTGCGATTGGTCAAGTCATTTGATATTATAATTACCCAAGCATGACTATATAAGGAGTTATTATCTTGGCTATTGTTAAATTGTGATTGATCTTTTACCCTGCCTCATCCTTCCTGAAGAACAAATGCTAGCATCTGGAGTTTTAACGAATAACATATAACCTTTTTACTGATTGGACAATGTGCATTCACATATTCATTATTTGCTTTAACTGTCCAATGAGCAAGAAGCTTATATAAAAACACATAGGTTGTTCATGAATAGAACATTTCTTTTTGTATTTAACAACAAGACTGCCTCACATTATTGTTGTTTCTTTTCGTCTCGGTGAAAATATGGAAAAAAAAAAAATTAAAAAACGGTGAATTTGCTGTTGCCCACATTTTTTGTGTGGAAACTGAAAAAAAGTATTTTTCTACATTACAGTATGGTATATGTGCTTTTTTAGATGTTAACCCGTTGCACAACGTGGCAGTCTATGGTGGATTTCTGAAATCAGAAACATAGTTAGAATATGATGTTTAACATGTTTATTTTGCACTCTTTGGTTTGCATGGCAACGAAATAATTGCACCTAGTTTATAAAAACTGGTGATTTATTCACTTTATTTTAAACTGTGGTGGGATATGATGGCATAAGTATCGTATAGGTTTACAAGATGAAGTGATCTGTTAGTTGAGTTGATTGCATGTGTTAAGTAAATGTACTTCATTAAATAGTACCATGACTCGCTTTATGCAGCTTGTATAAAACTAGCCGTTTAACACTATTGCTTCTTGTTACACTGTTCCTAAGCGACGATGTTTTGACCTTTGTTTTGAAAGAATAGTATTATACACAATATGAAACAAAATATTTTTGCAGTTTTCTAGTCTTTCAGTCTTTAACTGTTCATTTCAAGTCCATTAAATTTCAAGCAGTTTTTGAATTATTCACAGCCTAAGAAGTCTCATGAAGTACTTTCAAAATGCACAATTCTTATGTATCTTCATGTCAGTTGTTGATTTCAAAAAAATGAATGTGCATGCTACTTTAAAAAAAACATGGTGTTTTATAGGCGGGATAATAGCTGTAATCAGTTCAAACTATGTATGGTTCACTTTCACATTCGGGTGTGGTTGTGAAAGAAGGATCAAAATAATTATAGGAAATCCTTATTTACATTAATTAAGGTTTCAGTCTCTAAATGTCTGATTCATTTTACTAAGTTATCGGTCAGTTAATTTGATTTTCTTATTGAGTTAATCACCTTGCCACCCCATCATCAATTCATACCTCTGCGACTCCACCCCCACCCCCTCCTCAATTCATACTACTGTTATTCCAACCTACCCCTCCTCAATTCAAACCTCTGCCTCTTCAACCCCCACCCCCTCCTCAATGCATACCCCTGCTACTCCAGAAGCATTTGACTAGAAGACTGTTGGGTATCATATTCATAAGTAACTGAAAATAAACAAAAATAATAATTTAAAGTGTATTCTACTTATTGTAAAAATGTGTTAAATTTAATATAGGAAGTAGAAATCCACTTGGTTCTACAATTAAAAAAAATTAAAAAAAAAAATTGCGAGTTCAGTTGAATCTGGTCTCGTATTTCTCCAGAACGATTTAAAAAATGTATCTTATTCTTGTATGAAAACCTCAAATTTTGAACAAAAAAATGTTCAGATGTAAAAGTTCTGATTTTTTAATCGTATAAGTTCATGTGTTTTAATTTTATCCTGTTATCTGATAATTGCTGTCATTGGCCAACTGTAACATTCTCTGAATTCTTCTTATGAAGTGTAATCTTTGAGCTGGTAAACAAAAATAAACTTGTCAAATTGAGGATTGTATTGTTTTATGCATTGTTCGATTCACAAGGTTATTCAATTAAACTGAGGTCACAGGGTATTCGTGACGGCCGTAGGTGGCTGACCACAGCCGTCACCACGTATCCGTGACCTCAGTTTAGTTGATTGTTTTGATTAGATGATAACTCGCATCAATTTCAAATTTTAACCAATAGATCATGCCGTCTTTTATCACGTCGTAGCTTAAAGGATGCCACGCATGTGAAAGATGTATGGGTCTCGTATAAACAAAGATGGCTACTTTGACTGTTGCGCAGATCAACGAGTACAAACTGGGATGTTACCAAGCTTTAATTATGTATTTTAGGTGATTGGAAGGAATCGAAGGGGTCATCAGCGGTAATTAGCGCCAGTCGCACCCAGGTCAAACCTCGTACTGGTGATTTCCATTAGTAGAGCGCATTGGATTGTGGGAAAATCAATCAACACAAATGTCGCGCAGCGCGGCGACTGCAGCCCTTTAACTGAGTAAAACGTGCTCATGCGACTTTGCATTTGATATCCCATGCAAGTGTCACAAAGATTGGCTTTTTGTCATGCACTTGCAAAGATGCGTTTTATCCTGTTCGTGAAAAATGTGGTAATAAGAGGTTTGCTCCTGCTAGACATTAATTTTCCCATTGATGGTAAATCTAGCTTTTTATTGAGAGTTTATGCAACGGAACTTTTATCCACTTACTGGAACAACCCGAAATGGCCGCTAGTGGAGTGAGTGGTGTTCCTGGAACTTCACACGTGGTGGGTTGCTGTGGTATATCATTTTGTATGAAGATTATTTACAATATTTCACACTTTAACTTACAGATGATAGAGGGCGCTGTGTCAACTGCAGTAGAAATAGATGACTTTCCCAGAAGTCAAAGATACGGCTTTTCGCATGCGTGCACATGCCGTTTTGGGGTGTAACGTAAACTTGCACGGATGATATTGTGCTTCTGGGTGTACCAATGGATGCCAAAAGTCAGACCTGGTACCCATTCAAGAAAACCTCTAAACACGTACTTATTTTTGTGAAATTATACCCAAGAGATACCCAATATATATACTAAAACTATTTCCAAGTTGGAGATTCCTTTTTTACACTTTATATATTTTAAAATATTCGATCCTAAACAAGGTACACATGTATATGCATCAAATAACTAAACACCTCGTTTTTTTGGTTTTTTTTACCTTGAGCTTCAGAGGAACCATCACCCCCCCCCCCCGATACAAATTCTGATTATCAAAAAGTTCTTGTTAATCTTAATAACTAAATGATCTCTGCAATCACATTCATAGCTTCCACATACCTGAACCATGCCATGAAGATGTTCCAGTCAATGCGCGGTGGTCGTCACGTGTTCGAATTTCATGTAAATAAACAATGTATTTTACACGCATTGTATACTAGTACGTCGCTATCGAACAAGACGCGGCACGACGACTGCCACCCTTTAATTTAAAGTAAGAGAAATTTACCACGACTTGATTACTTGTTAAATGAAGTTATTTATGTACATTGAAAATTGACCATACTTTACAAAGAAAGATGTAGGCGTGCTTGTCCAATCATTAAAGAAGATTGCTGATGATAGCATTCGAGCTCGCTCAAATGTTCCTGGTCAAGAGAAACACGGGTGGTACTGAATAAGGGCACTCAACCATTGCTATTGTCAGCAGTGTCTATTTGACAGATCTACCTCAACTGTGGCGATTCTGAAACCGCCATTTCTGTTTGACTATGATATTGATACAGAGGGGACACCTTTGGATACTGGACGTGTGGTCTAAATCTAATAACCGCCGCCTCTGTCTGGTTAATGACTTGGAATCACAGTTCCCGTTGCATTTTTTCCTTCAAGCGCCCTCTAGTGACGAGCTTAAGAATATACATGCATATGTGAAGTGAAAATAGTTTTTTCTATAGACGACTTTCCCTAAAGTAGCGAGACGAGGGTGCAAAAATACTTTTGGCTGGAAAAACAAACTTGTCGATAGATAGAAGGAATTTTATTTTTGTGACGTAGATTGGTACACCCAGAAGCACAATATTACGCGTGCAAGTTTACGCGCATGCGAAACGCCGTATCTTCAACGTCCGGACAAGTACGAGTAGTCTATGCGAAACAAAACAACAAATCGCGTGTCATCTGGGCAATTTTGATAAGTGTGAAATCGAAAATAAAAACAAAAATCAGTTCGGCAACCATTATGGGCGTTATAAATTAGGAACGAGGCAAGGCATGTGTTGCTTTTTGGTTAGCATGTTACTTTAGTTAGTGAATTCGTTGATTTAAAGGGTGGGTAGACGAGACTTATAGCGACATATACAACGCGGGCGTGTTTTTAACATGACATTTGAGCACGTGCCATGGGACGACCATCCCCCGATAATCCCGACAGTTATTTGGAGGGACAGACACAATTACATTGGAGGACTGGATGGTTAGGGCACCATTCCTTTTTCAGGGCGGCGGTCGTCGCGAGGCGTGTTCAAATTTCATGTAAAGAAACAATGCATTTTACACGCGTTGTGCAAGTCGCTACGAGTCCCATGTCGAACAGGACGCGGCGCGAGGACGATGTGGCTATACTATCACGATATATTAGCCTGAAATCCGGCCACTCGGTGTACACTAAAGGATATTTCAAGCTTTTGTCGACGGCATTTCGCCAAGATTTCGTTAAATCATATACTAGTATTGAGGCAAATCCACTAAAATGACATGTGGTTACTAACTAGTAGACAACGCGTTTCAACAATATTAAGTTTATCTGTCAGTTTGGTGGCTATTTCTTTGGTTTAAACACTTAAACTGCTTTGTAGAATTATTGCATGTCAACGCTAAATACAATACGAAGACTAATTTTACTTTTATTTATGTTATTGTCTTTGGTGGGAATCGAACACTATTTGTGCGTCAGACACAAATCTCGTGGTTCTCGATGAGATCTCTGCGGCCATTCGCGTACAAGATCAATTTGTCGACTGCATTACATCTAGTCAAACTCTCGCATCGTGATTGGTGGACGGTCAGATAGCGATGGCCCTGCTCTTGTTAGGCAGTTTTCATTCGATGAACTAGGGACGCTTTTAATGTCACAGCATTTAATGTCTCGACAAACTCCACTGAGAGTTTCGCATTTGTTTCAAATACATGACATAACCTTTTCCACCCCTAAACGGTTAATTGTCTCCAGTTATAATCAAGAACACCTATGTTTTTAAATTATGAAATAAACATACATTATAATATGAGGTAGTGTTTATTAAACATTAATATGTTTAGTAAATCGTGTAAATATGACTCAGCTGGACATAAAAGAAAATTACGGTACCTGAAATGGAGAAGTCAAAAAGCATATTTTACAAATGATAATATACTATTACGTGTATACACTTATCACCAGCAGATTTGACTGGGAAATAGTTTAATCTAAACTACTATACCCTGGGAGGGCTATTTCCATTAGAAAAGGTACGCGAGGATGTTCTGCCATGCGAGCGAGTTTTCCCCACCATGGGTTTATTCAATCCCATGATGCACTATGCAGAAATAAATATGACGTATTGATCACCATTATCGCAGAAGGATGCTGGATATACATTACGATATTTTACTGGACAATGCATCATGGGAGGAAGAACGTCGGAAAGGCTGCAACTATGTTGGTAGTTATTTCGCTAACTATACCTAAATAAAAGTGCTAGTGGTATTTGAGAAGTAAAAATAAAGAAAGTGCTAAAAATTGACGAAAATCATTCAGCGGGAGAGCGGAACAATACATTTTTTTCCAATCGATGAAAGGATTCTAAAGAATACGTTTCTTTTTCATAAAACGGACATTCCTCCTTTCGTCCCTATGACATTTCTCGAACCACCGCGAGCAACCTAATCTGTACTTCATTCAAAAGAATAACATGGGTTTGCGTAATTTTCCCTTTCACTGACTCCCTCAACTTAACATAAAGATAAGGTGAAAAAATCTGCATTTAGAAGTAAATTGAAAATAACTCACTCAAAAAAATAATAAAACAACATAATTCCAATCGAAACTTGTCCGGCAGTAAGCTCTACTAGTTAATCAATTACAATGTGTTAGTGGTGTGTGTTACTAATTATCTATTCACACAGAACAGATCTGATCTAATATAATGAATCATATGCACGCACGTACGTACGCGGTCATTACCCTATTGTAAAAAAGGATACGACAACAAAAAAATACTCCCGAGCAAAGATTGTCATTAGCTCAGAGTGCAACAAAAAAAACTAAAGTAAACCAACAACAAAGTATATTTCCATTCCTTGCTAGAACATAAATATATATCTTTCTTTCTTTACAAGTTTTGTTTTAAAATTGTTTTATAGATTTGTAGCAAGTAAGTTTATGATGAGTTGCTCTTTTGTGCAAGCAGCTGTCTCAGGGAGTAAGCTTCTTCCTTCAGCGTTTCTAACTGCGATCGCAGGTGGGCGTTCTCTCTCTCCAGGTAGAAGCTCTATGGCTAATCTGTTCTTCGCGATACTTCCTGGCGTCACGTGACCGCTTGGCAGCCATGTTGTTTTTCTTGCGTCGTTCGAAGTATCTATGATCCTTCATGTCGTCTGTGACTGCTTTTTTAGTACTGCGCCGTTTTGAGTGGTTCATCCTAACATGGGACATAACTGCAAATAAAAATTATGTTAATTTCATAATTTATGTTACGAAATCTAAAATGATGTGATCCCAAAAGATCGTTATTCATTCCCTATTTAAAATTATTTTGGGAAAATGTAAAGTGACTCGAATTAATACGTGTGTAAATTTTGTCATCTCGAGATTGCGCCGTGAAATTATGCATCGTGTAGTTTCGTAGTTGTCCTGTCTCTTGGAGTTTGTGATTACCAGTTCCCTGCCTCCATGATTACATTGTGTGAATGGGACTACAGGGGCTTGTCAACTAAAGTCGAATCCCCGAGAACTTGGGGGGTTTCGCCATCAGTCGAAAAGCCCGTGTGAAATGGAACCACCATTTCCAGGCTTTCGTTCTGGTCTCCGAACAAACAAACAAACAAACAAACCAAACAAAAACTCTCCCGCGGCCGTCAACGCATATTGGAAATGTAGATTTAGGGGGAATGGTGGGAAAACCATGCTTTTCAAATGGGCGTCATTATTCTCTTGACGACTGTTTGGCTCTTTATATTCAAATCAGCAAATAAAAATAGAATTTTATTATCACATACCGTCAAATGGATCATCTCCTTCACCTGGCAGAAAGAAAAAAATAATCACTTGTTTAGTTATTAAAATAAAACAAATGGTTGAAATAAAGCTAGTCTCAGATTTTTTTATTTGTCTGATTTAATTCTCGTTTAAAATCGGTAGAAGGTTATTGCCCGCGTTGATAATAGAGAATCTGGCCTGGTGCCAATTCAACAAATTCAACTACTTAGTTGAAGGACGAATACATTGGATAAGGAAGAATAATGCGTTTATATCAAGCCAAATCTCTTACCGTCGAATGATTCATTGTCCATTGGCGATATTGGTCCCGGTGCATGTGTATGCGTGTGTAAATGGACTTGTGGAGCGGTCATCATTAAATGGGGTGGGTGGGGCAAATGCGAGGGTAACTCCATTTGTTTTGTCTGGGATAACATTCTGATCAATCCGCTATCCCTGGCATTGGGATCGTCTATATTATGGTCTTTTTCATCAGCCGATACTGGAAAATATTAAAATAAAAATGTAATGAGGTATGTTGTTACAGGTCAATAAACAATTATACTACTGATTCTAACAGAGGGCGCATTCGTAGATAGTCACATATCGAACATTACAGATGCTAACGGTATATTTCAACGTAGATTACAATAACTGCAGAAAACCTTTAAAATATAATGACTGGGTGACGTAATGTTACATCGACCAAGCATTATCTAAAAAATAGTTTAATCTTTATCTGCTAGCAACAAGTGACAATTTGGAAGGCAAAATAATCCGCAATATGAAAATCGGTTATATAATATGTTGATTTCACACATGTTTCGTCCAAGAATAGTATAATTACTGAAAAGATGATGGTTCCAGTGTATTGTTAATTTATCGAATTGAAACTAACAATACGTACAAATGTTTAATTTATACAGTGCACCATGTGCAACATTGAAACAACGTAGGGTATTAACGAGAAGTAGTCCAAATATTCGCATTTCGTAAACATCCGCATACTAGATAGTATTCCTAATTAAATTTAAAGATGTTTAGGCCGACAGTGTAATTGAAATGTCGGGGATAGTTCCAATTATGCCCAATTAGGCTGTGAACGCAGAGATAAGCTCCGACAACTAAATGAGTGATAAGTGTCTGGGGAATAAGTCCTCGAGTGAGGTTGTTGTTAAATTGAACAACAATACGTTGATTACTTTTTGTCAAAAGTGACATTGTCATCAAAATAGGAACCTGACATTGTGTAATATGACTATTTTTTCAGTTAATGATCATGTATTTTATTTACAGATGCATTAATCACAGACACGAATATACCCAAGGCAATTACACGCATATTCACAATAAAATATCAACCATTTTAACCAGTCTACGCAGACAGGGCTACATAAAGGACATCATTTTGAAAATGACCTTGAATAATACAAAATAATAAGTACCGGGTGGTGTTGGTGGCAACGTGCCGGATGTCGATACGTCGGTACCACCTCTGTGGTACATCATCATTGACGATTGACCAACCATATTGGCAGGCAGTGGCGGCTGAAGGTTTCCTGTAGACGATGAGGTTGGTGGGTAGACAAATGATGGGTTGCCTTCTCCAGAAACTAAATAGAACGCTCGGTTTGTGTTCTGGGCTGCTATAGGGTATCGACCATCTTGAAACAAACAAAGAAAGAAAGAGAATACACATTAATAAATATCAGTATGAAGGAATATATAAGAGAATATTTTATTTACTGTACACGTTCTACTGCAACGAACACAGTATGATATTTGGAGATGGGGAACTGTTCAATTAAATTGCAAACTTCTTTAAATGGTTCCAGTTCGGCACCGGTGTGATGACGCATGTCATTGTCGAATATTTCAGTATAATGCAGATTTGTAACATTGTACGGAAATTGACCAGAGTAAGCAAGGTTTTTTTTTTTGCCAAACATAAATGAAAAGTAAAAAAAAAACACAACACTATTTTACGTATTACATTTGTATTTAAAATAAACGTGCATGCTGTTTATTTTTGCTATTTCTTATATTCAACTCATCAAAAGTCAGTGAAAATAATAAAAAAACGATTTGAATTATTTTACAATATTTGACTTGTCACAAACGACCGGGACAACCCAGCAATATCTCACAACATAAAATACCAATTGCAATACTATGCTATAATTCATCGAATATGTCGTTACTTTTTAGTTGACGTGAGCTCCGGGGTTTTGAATGCGTAGATTGGTCAAATAATTTCTTATCTAAGTGACACTCACGATATTCTATTTTATACTAATCTTTGGGGAAATATTTAACTGGTATAAACTCCAGCATCTCCGGCATCCGCCGATTATTATTGTCGATAGGAAATAAAGTCATCCAGACAACAAGGAGAGTCATGTAATTATGAGATAAACCGGTAATGCCACGATTGTCATAGTTAACCAAACTCTTGTTAATTTACAGTCAGTGAGAAAAGCCAAGCACTCGTAATATAATCCCTCCGGGCTATATTGCCCTTTCATTCATTGACCACAAACACCCGGTATCAATTAACAATTGTGCGTCAATCGGGTTGGAATCTCACGTAATACGGAGATTGGCCTTTAGTAGTTACACGCATGGTCGCCTGGGGCAGGTGTTATCGCAAGAATATCATTTTCCCAATAATGTATGATTTAGCATGGCAACACAAACTCTTAGAAACCAGCCCTAGTTACCATATCAAATTCTATTTGATCATACTGTCTATAGCCTTCATTACGATCTCGACTTTCTCGATCGTTTCAACTTCTGAAGGTAGCAAAAGGGAGCACAAGAAATAGGGTAATTGC